AAAGTTACCATGTAGTATTGAATACATCAAGAGTGGGTTCCTATGTTTCATACTCTACGGTCGATAGCCTGAAAATTTTAACTACCAAATCAAGAAACAAATTGAGAATAATCAATGGGAGAAAGGATCACCAAATGACTAATATTCAAATTGTTTGCATCTGCTACACTGTGTTACTTAACTGGAATTCTGACGTCGGTATAAGTTATTAAAAATCCACTAGCACATATTTCTATGTGCAAATCAGTATTTTAATGTTACAAAAATAGCGTTTGTTTTCATTATGTAAACTTGATATTTTTCAACAATGTGGAATCGGGACCAAGACCAATTTTCATTCAAAGAAGACAATACTGTGTATGTAGTGGTAAATGAACAGCCCTCTACTGTGAGCTAGATCTCTCGGAGAAGAAAATAAGACGAACGGGTACTGTTCCCAATTTTTAAAAAAATGAAAGATGTCAGCAATCATTGAAAAGAATCTATCTGAGTTTAGTTGAAAGAAACGATATAATACTACACCAGGATAAAAACTGAGTCCTTTCATCTTAGCGATAAACACTAAGTACTTTTATTTCTGAAATGAATGTGATAATTGGCTTAGATTAGCATCTTGGTAAATAAAATCAACTATTTCTAAAGTTGTTGCGGTTTACTTGTTAAACCAAAATATACATAACGCTTTCATCGTTAATATTTCTGCAGCAATAAGAAATAACACATCTCGTCTGCATGACAAGCAAATTAATTCACACCTACACAAGTGTATATAATATGAATAATTAAATTACACAAGGCAATTGATCTGCTATAACGGTAGAATGGACAAACAAAATTGCGCCAGAGAAATTTAAGTAATTATTCATACAATATAAACATACATAGGTGTGAAATAATGTACTTGTAAAAAAAAGCATAAAAGAAAAAACATACAAAACTAAATTATATATATAAAATAGAAAATGTATGTCTGTGTGTCTGTCTATGTTTATGCTATTTATGCACGTCCACATTTCTCAAGCGATTTCAATGAAATTGTAGACGTATGTTGCAAATTTATTAATTTAGGTCAAGACCAGCTTTTCACTCTCCAGCCCTCCCGTGTTTGGCAGAAAAATCGATAAAACTGAAGATGAATACGACTTTGTGCAAAGGCAATGTTACACGGGAACAAATTTTTTACTGAATGAGATGATGTTCTTTGCACTTAATGCAAAACACAGCTCATGGTACGAGGTTTATGTAGGGTGCTTGATAGTTTTCTCGTGACACTGGCTTCACGAAAAAATTGCAAAAAGCTGCGAAAAAAAAGGGTGTTTCGTATTACTTAAAATATAACTTGAATAAAGTCCCCATTTTTATTCGATTTTCTTCAAACACGCAAGAAATAAAATAGCGAGGTTTTAGTCCCGCTCGCTTCCCCGCGTATAAGGAAAAACTGTTAAAAAGTAAATTACATATGATACAAAAATTATCTTGCGCAAAAGTTTGGTTTAGATTATTTCAGTTATGTGGACGAAATCGATGACAAACTAGGGCCAAAACCGGCTTTTGCCATTTAGCCAATAGTTTCTCCATACGATTACATCCTATATTGGCATTCGAGCAACCTTTGATGCAAAGATTGTTTGATTACGATTATTGAAGTGTTAAAAGGGAAAAATTCACGAAGAACCCTCTTATTAACCCCAGCTTCACAGTAAACGTGCGAAGAAGGAAGAGGACGTTCATACGTTTGCACTTGCTGTTCTGACGCTCCGTTTGAATATTAGAAAATACTGTACTATTTGAAAGTTATTACGGTCATCGAAAATTTACTGAATATTTAAAACATTGAAACAATTTAACCCTGAGCAACGATCACACAAGAAGTTATTATCAATGGAATTCCTTTATTAAGAACAATTAGACACTTGCGAAGGACATGCCGTAAAAAGATGAGCTGCAGAGTAGCTTAGTATACCAACGGATGATGCATGAAAACATGAAAACAGGGACGCAGACAGACATTTCTAGATAGGGGGTGCGGATATATAGGGGTGCAGTTATACAATTGCAGCCATATACACCCAGGCTACCTCGGTTAATATATATATATATATATATATATATATATATATATATATATATATATATATATAGCAATCATGATGAACTAATAAAGTACGCATTTATTCCAATAATCTTAAACGCATCATAAAGAAACAGTTTATAAAAAAGATTAAATACCAATGTTAATGACTTAATGAGACATCAACTTACTATCAATTCTTTGAATATGATCGTTATATTCGAGTTGTTGTCAGATGGAAGAGACATGACAAGTACTTTCGACAATTTCAAATTGTCATCTTCAGGGTGCACTTTTCACATACATAGGCAAATACTAAGACGAAATATGTGTAGACCGAAAGATATTTTTTAAATTATGCTATTTGTTGACAGTTGAATATATGTTTTGTAGCGTGCGATTCCGCGAAGCTAGATTTCTGTTCAAATCGATCAAGAATTTTGTTTGAATTTTGAAAAGTTATAAATCCACGAAATTTTCTTGTAATATGTATTTATTTGTTAAAGTGACATGATTATAATAATCCATTTAGTAAAGTAAAAATGTCTTCGTAGTTTTCCACAGACTTTGTTACTGTGCTGCGGATCTAATGCCGTAAAGATATTAAAGTGTGCAACTTATATTTTATATCATAAAGAAACAATTTATACAAAGAATTAAATAGCAATGTCAATGTCATTAATGACGAAATCACTTCGCTAATAGGACTTAATGAAACATTAACTTACTCTCAATACCTATAATTAATTATAATTAACATTGCTATTTAATTCTTTGTTTTGGGATCGAAATTGTTAAAAACCAACTTCCCTTCTCACTGTAAATGAACTAATTCAACAACACTGCCTGAATATCTAAAAAATATTACCTATAAAAATAAAAAGGAGCCTTCTTCAAACCAAAATCATACAATGACGATGACGGTTGACAACAACCGAAAGCTCTCGGTTAAATACCAAGGACTGGGGTCTTTTTTCAACAACTTAGGCCCACAAACAAAGAAATTTGCAAGAAACCAAGAAAAAATCGAAAGAAAGATTATTAAACAGAAAAGTTACGTAGTCTTTAATAATTAAATACAATGTATCAAAATACAAACTAGAGACGTGCCATAATGGACCATTCCAAGTTAAATAAATGAATGCTTTGCGTTAATTTTTAAGGCCAACATGAATTTTTTTTTTCTTGATAAAAAGTTAAATAATGTAGCAGTCCAAACAAAAATACTCCCCTTGCAATTTCTAAAGTTAAGTTTTTATGAATCTTATAACACCATATATATATATATATATATATATATATATATATAGTGTTGATGAAAAAAACATGTTTTGTGTTTGAAATGTATTTAAATTAATAGTATATTTTTTAAATTTTATTTTAACACCACAATTATTAAACTAATAAAGCATTTATTTTATATTTTATTTTAACAAGACAATCAAATGATTAGCTAAAAACAACTATTTAGAAAAATGTATTATTAACTAAACTTGAATAATATTGGGTACATTAAGTACGTTAAAACACTTTTTCTGCGGGAATTTCCACGGTCAATAATTAAAACTAAAACAATTAAAAAAATAAAATTGCTATTCATTTTTTAAAAAGAAACTATCATCAATATTTGTTAAACCATTTGCATGTGTTTTTAATGTCCATGAAATCGAAGTTATACAATCTATATTATTATGATTGATGAGTGACAATGTAATGGAGATAGAAAAAAAATGTAAATGTTGATGAAATCGTCTAGAGCCACAAGGCACCGCTGAAATCCGTCCATCCAGAGCCCCAAGGAATTAGTTATATGAATATTTCTTGTAATTATTAAGTTAAATTAAAGATCAAGCATTTGTATGCATAACGTGAATCACGTTTTGTCTCGCTAATCCAGATTTGGTTGAAATAAGATGCAATTTTTCTAATAAGGTCGATTCATCGGCGAAACATTAAAATAGAATTTGTCGAAATGGTCATATCTTATCATTGGTGGATGTGCGCACGCATGAGTATTTGCATGCATATATCAATAAATGTGATAAATTTTGGAAAGTCTATTGACTTACCTCTAAATAACTTTCTCAAAAATGATTGATCCGGAAAATCAAGCTGCAAAAAAAAAAAAAAAGATTGAAGTAATTTAGACAACGAGAAGTTTCACAAGAAAAAATAAGTGAAGCGTAAAAATATTTAAAATCCCTTTAAGACAAGTGATCAATGCCAGGTAGATCAATACTCGATAGTTAGTCACATATGCTTCCAGGAAAAGGCGGGAAACTATAAAAATCAAGAATAAATAAGTATATTAATTTTAATGCATGTCAAAATAATAAAATTAATAATAATAATAATGACAGTTGTTGGGATAAGATGGTGGCGTCTACTGCTATTACTGTAGCTAACGGACGCTCGGAATACTAAAAACAGTGAAAAGAAATGCACAAATTATTTTCAGCGTATTTCTTACCCATTTTTTATAGGGAGGAATGTGGGCGGTGTAGCATCATTTCTTTTTAGTTCTTCATCTTAAAACCGGACGTCATTGTTGATGTAAGTTCTCATTTTCAGCGTCCTAATGGGACGCACGCGCGCCTATTCAGTCGAATGGGGACAGCATACATAATAGGTTCGTATTGGCAGGACCCAACAATGGCTCAATAATAACAGGTCGGACAAGCAGACGACCAAAAAGAAGCGAGAAAATCAAAGTTAGAATAAAAAGGTAACAAAAATTAAAAATTGTAATAAAAATCAGTGAGAAAATGATAAACTCTAAAAAAAATAGTGAAATAAACAAGAATGGTAAAAAATATGGTGAAGGGTGCAAAGTGATAAAGATTTAAAAATAAGTAGACGAGGAATACTAATAACAGTTATAAAGAGCACTAGTGTGTCAAATAAAATATATTTTTAAAAGCTAAATTACCTTAGGTTAATTAAATCAATGACAGACAAAAGAAGATGGAGCACAATATGCAAGGTACGATTTCTAAGAAAGAAATGTGAATAAGAGAAAAGAAAGTGAATATTCAAAATGACAATATAACAAGATCGAAATAATTGAGAACAAAAAAATAGGGACAAATAAAAAGTAAGGACAACTAAGAACAGAAAGAAATAAATGCAAAAAGAAAGCCTGCAAAAATGAAAGTAATATAAGAGAAAAATCCTTAAATACGTAACGAGATAATGAAAAAGAAAGAAAAAAGAAAGCTGGTGCAAAAACAGTCAGATAAAACAGTAACAACAGAGTAAATATTAAAAGAGAAAACTAAGGAAAACGAAATAATATAATGAAGACGATGAAAAAAAAAGAAAAAGAAAAAGAAGAGATGAAGAAATTTTAAAGGCAGTAGCAGTGACTGGATTATATTAGCAAGGGATGCTGAACGTTTTGTAAGGCTGGAAATATACGAGAAATAAAGCAACATAAATTTTGAAGGTGGCTACGGCAGTTCTGAATCATAAATGAGGTATTAGTAGAATTTAATTGAAGACAGCCAGAAATAAAAGAAGCTGAAAAGGAAAAAAGAAAGGTAACGCAGCAGGACATAAAAGAAAGAAAAATAGAGGAAGGTGGCGAAAAGAAAAGAAAGAAAAATGAGGAAGGAGATAAAGAGAAAGAAAGAAAAAATGAAGAAGGAAGTGAAGTAGGCCAAAAGAAAGAAGAGCGAGGAAGGGAGTGAAAAGAATGAAAGAAATTAGTAAGGAAGGGGACGAAAAGAAAGAAGAATGTAGAATGAAGCAACAAAAAAAAAGTGAAAAGTGAGAAAAAAAGACGAAATGAAAAAAGTGAGGAAGTTGTCGAAAAGAAAGAAAGAAGAAAGTGAAGAAGGGGACGAAAAGAGTTAGGAAGGAGGCGAAAAGAAAGAAGAAAGCGAGGAAGAAGGCGATAAGAAAGAAGGAAATGAGGAAGGAGACAAAAAGAAAAAGAGTGAGTAAAGAAGCGAAAAGAAAGAAGAATGTGAGGAAGAGACGCAGAGAAAGAAAAATCGTGAGGAAAGCGACGAAAAGAAAGAAAAAAATGAGGAAGGAGGCGAAAAGAAAGAAGGAAGTGAGAAAGAAGGAAAAAGAAAGAAGGTGAGAAAGAAGGTAAAAACAACGACAGAAGAAAGTGAGGAAGGAGGCAAAACGAAAGGGGAGTGAGAAAGGAAGCAAAAAATAAAAAATGAGGAAGAAGCCGAAAAGAAAGAAAGAAAGAAAGAAAGAAAGAAAGAAAGAAAGAAAGACAAAATGAAGAAGGAGCAACAGAAAGAAAGAAGGGAGTGGGAAACCAGCCCAAAAGGAATAAAAAGTGAGGAAAGAGGCAAAAAGATAATAGAAGGAAGTGAGGAAGGAGACGAAAAAAGAAGAGTAATGAAAGAGTGGAAAAGAGAGAAAAAAGTGAAGCAGTAGGAGAAAAGAAAGAAAAGTTTGGAAGGGGGTGAAAAGAAGATTGAAGAAGGATACTAAAAGAAAGAAGAGTAAAAAAGTAGGCAAAAAGAAAGAATGAGGAAGAAAGCGAAAAGAGAGGTGGGAGACGAAAAGGAAGAAAGAAGAAAGTGAGAAAGGTGTTGAAAAGAAAGAAAAAATGAGGAAGCTTGCAAAAAGAGAGAAGAAAAGAGAGAAGAGTGAGGAAGCAAGCGTAGAAAAAAAGAGGAAAGCGAGGTAGGAAACGAAAATAAAGGAAGAATTAACTGAAGAAAGTTAGGAAGGAAACGAAAAGAAAAAAAGAAGGACGTGATGAAGGAGGCCAAAATATAGAAACGTGAGCTTAAAAGAAAGAAAAATGTGAAGAAGGAGGTGAAAAGAAAAAAAAGAAGGAAGTGAGGAAAGAGGTAAAACGAAAGAAGATTGAGAAAGGACGAAAAATGAAAGAAGAAAGTAAGGAAGGAGGCGAAAAGAAAAACAAAAACTGAGGAACAAGGCCAACAAAACGAAGAAAGTGGCTGTAGAGGCGAAAAAATGGAGGAAAACATGACTTAGGCTGTATAAAGTTGAGAAAGGTGATAATCTCTCAGTGTGTTGCACAGGAATAAATAAAACCTTAAAGAAAAATGTAAGAAAGAGGACAGAATGGACGGAAAAGAAGTAGAAAACATTTTAAAGAAAAAGAAAAAGATAAAACAACGGGATAAAAAATAATGCTGAGGTTGAAAAATATAGAAGGAAAATCCAAAAGAAAGAAATAAAACTGGATGATAAAGTCTCAGCTAATAAAAAAAAAATGTCTTATTTTTAAGATACTTTTTTATTAGCTAACCCTTTATCGTCCAATTTTATTTATTTCTTTACGAAGGGACACTGAAACTATTGAAACGAACAAGAAGGATTTTTAAAATAAGTGGGAGAGGACAAGACAGAAAATAACAGGTATTTTTCAAGAAGAGTAATAAAACCGTAAATTAACACACACACTCGTGTGTGTGTGTGTGTGTGTGTGTGTGTGTGTGTGTGTGTGTGTGTGTGCGTGCGTGTGTGTGTGTGTGTGTGTGTGTATTGATGATAGCGGTTAGTGTAAGTTCACGTTCCGAATGGGGAAGGAGCAAAAGCCTGGTTAGCTCGCCGTTCAGTTGACCAAACGAGTGAACAAACTGATCATTAGTAGCAGTTTGGTAAAGTTTTGGGCGAAGCAAAACGCAGTGTTGGGGAAGAAAGATGTGTGATGGCTGAAGGGTTGGTAAGTGGCAGTAAAGATGGTAGGGTGGGTGCTGGTATCCCTGGTGTTGACATGGTGGGGAATACGGATTACCGAAAATTGTTCTCATTGTAGATTTATTTATTCGCCAACACGACGAGAGTAAAATATTTCGTAAGTTACTGCAAACGGCTGGTTTCACTCAGCCCAACACTAGCCACAACTATCGCCATCTTCGCGCGCTTCGAACGACTTCTTTCCAAAATCTCTAGCTGACCGTAACCAACTCATCTTTCGGTATCTTACCTCGTTTTTCTCTTTATCAACTTCCTCTTACTCGCACTCACGGGCACGTTTTCTCTCAAACATGATTTCTTTCTCTATCATTCTATTTCTTTTTACCTGACACAAACCTTTTAATTCCATTTTTTCCCATCAGTTATTGTTTAACTCGACGTTAAACCTTTTCTTCTTTTGCTTTCAAGATTTATTTCGAATTTTTTGTATTTCTTTATTCTCGTAAATAATTATTAGCTTTTGTTTTTGCCCTATTCTCTTTTATTTCGTTTACCAACAATTTCTTACGGTATCTCTCTTTCTATATCCACCTCTATATCTCTTTAATTGATTTCTTTCTTTCCTTCCTTTTTCATTGGCTTTCTCTTTCTTTTCTTCGTGGTTTGTTGCATTTCTCTGTCTATATTCCATTTCTTTCACGTTATTCATTAACCATCAATTTCCTTTTCTTTATTTCCACTCCTTTCTTTGTCATGACTTCATTGGGATTCCTTCCCATAGAATTCCTTCTTTCTCTTTAACCAGATTCTTACTTCTTCCTTATCAACTTATCTTTTTTCAAAAATTACCCTCTCTCTTTCTCTCTCTCTCTTTCTCTCTCTCTTTCTCTCTCTCCCTTTCTCTCTCTCTCTTTCTCTCTCTCTCTCTCTCTTTCTCTCTCTCTCTCTTAACTGCTTTTCGTCTTTCTCTCTTTCTTTACTGGTCTTTTTTCTTTCTGTCCTTCTCTTTCTCCTCGCCTTGTCCACTAATCATTGCCCACCTGTCCATATTTTAGTTCTTTACGTTCTGTTCATATGATAAATCTCACTGATTGCTGTTCGACGTATAGATACAGACCGGGACTTTGTATTAGAGGTAAACAGCATTAGCATTGATCTATGGCGAACAATAGGCACATAGGCAGCGCGCGGTCTTCGACTGAAATCTTTATTCCCGGCCGGCGACGTGAGTTGGCTGTCTTAACACCCCAGACACCGAGCGTTGTAATTGCTGGAATTCTCCGCCAGGGAGCGTAACACTGTCGTTTTGTTGTTGTTGTTGTTGTTGTTAATGGTGGTGTTGGTATTTTTAGGATTGATGTTGCCTTTCTTGTAGCTAGAAGTATTGGCTCAGGGAAGGAATAGGATGCGGTAGAACTGATAATTTTATAGAAAGAAAAAAAAATGAAAGAAAGACGTAGAGTTGGCTGTAGAAGTCTCGGAAACAAATACAGAAAGAAAACTTGAAAAGAAGAAAGCGAAAGGGATGCTTGAATAAGAAAGAACTAGAAATATGGAAGGAAAAACGACGAGAAGCCGAAGACGATTTGAGCAGAAAGAAGCAAGGATAAGAACAGAACGGTTGGAAAAGAGTTAAAAAGACTGGGAATCTTCATAGAAGGGATAAATGTAGAAAAAAAGAAAGAAAAGAGAAAGAACAACAAAAAAAAAGAAATAAGGAAAATTCAAGACAATCATAAAAAAAAAGGGTTGTATAATTTTTATAAAGCAGGAAAGAATGTAAATGAAAAATAGAAAACTCCAATACAAAAAAATCTTTTGTGTAGGCCGACGCAAAATTTTTAAACAAGATTTAATTTAATCTACATCGCGTGTATAAATCAACCCAGCTTTCCATCTAATGAAACAATATATGCTAGCAAAATACACGCTTGATATAAAACCTGAAGATACTACTACAGCCTTTAAACTGATGACCATTGAAATACTACATTAATGATTTTTACAAATCTTTAAACGAAAAATTGACACAAAATATTTATAAAAGGAATTTTCAAGTCAGTTAATGGAAACTTATCGGAATACAACGGTCTTGAAACTGGTGTATGTTTTTCTAGCCTTGATGTTATAGTTGTTTCATCCATTCCATTTGAGCACGAATTTCAACTTGAAGACGATATATCATGCAAAAACATTAACAGATGTTGATGAGAAGTTCTTATATATAAGGCGACAGACTGTTTCATGCTAAACGCAATCATCAGGCCACATGCGTTGTGTTTCTTCTCGACTATTTATACATACAGGTCAGTGGTGCATTGTGGTTAATCTATTCTAACGGTTATTTTAGCGGGAGCGGCTTGTTAATTTGTTTATTATTTACTTTATTTATTTGGATTAATTTATTTTACTTGTTTTTGCTTATTTATTTTTATTTTATTTATTTTTATTTATTCTTTTCAGTTTTCTGTTTTTAAGTAACGTACTAAAAACTTGCTTTCGTGTCTGCATTTTGAGATGAAATCTGATCGTTTACTTAGTAGTTTGTTTTGGTCTGGGAAGGTAATTATAGCATTTTTCCTCCAAGCAGAGTTTGCAGTTTTTAGATTGATTGTTGTAGGCTGATGTTCTTTTCCTTATTCTCCATGATATTTTTGGTATTATTTGCTTTGTTTCTAATTTCCCAGATATACTTGGAAAGCATTCTGCTTGTCACGTATTTACTATTTGTGAAAGATGTTTTGTGTGCGTAATTTATTTGTTTCTAGGGCCCTTCAGTTACTCATATGTATATTTTTTCTTCGTTAGCTGATGATTTTACCGTGGCTTTGTATATTACATTGTTTTGTAAGCAATTACGTTTTAGAGAAATTCGTTCTTTATTCTGCAAATTAAACGTAGGTTTATTTTGTTCGGGTGGTTTGTTGATAGTTTTCCTGTTGTGGTTTTTTATTTGTGTCATGTTCTCGGTACAACTGTAGGTGATTTTTATTGTGTTTTGTTGAATATTTTATGGAGAGTGCCTGATTCGGAGAAGTGTTTGTGTAAGAGTTTGAATATTTTTTCTTACGTTTGTTTTTACGTTTTTGTTTTACGGTGGGTTGAGCCATATGATGTTTCTCTTTCTGATGGCTTTTTCGTCCTCTGTGGTGTGTATGTGAGTGTTGCCGGAAATCCACTATTCTTTAGGGCTGTTTCTTAGCTTCGTTGAATATGGTTTCATTGGAAGAATTTTCGGAAAGACTGCCGTTAATTGATTTGGGTATCTGTTTGGTTATAGAAGGCGGGTGATTGGATGTGTGTATATATAGTGGTTTATCATTGGGTTTTCTGCATTGTTAATATTTACCTTTTCTTTGGTTGAAGGTAACATCTAGAAAATCTACTTCGTTCAGTTTAGTTTTTATGTCTGTGTCGAATCTAATATTTTTGAAAATCTTTATTATAGCTTTTCTAGTTTTGTCTGTGTTTTGTTTGTTATAGTTTCTTAAGATTATGAGACCGTCGTCCCTGTAGATGCCCGTGTCATTTCTATTTATTATTTTACTTAGTTCGTGTAGTAAATATATACCTATGAGTTTGCAGGTTCTGCGCGGTCAAAGCTTCCACTTGTATTGTCAAAGATCCCTTTTTTCTTTATCCATGCGTCTTCATTGTCGAATAGTCGGATTTACGAATTGTTGGATTTAGGGGAGTGATTAATGATATTGATTTCGTTTGTGTTGATTCTTATTTGTTCTTCAGCTAAGGTGATGGCCTTATCTAGCATGGGTATATATATATTTATATTTACATACGCTCGATCTCTCATATTGATCCCTTTATTCCATAAATAAAGCATACCTGATATATATATATATATATATATATATATATATATATATATAACTAGACTCGTTTCGAAAAAACCCTCAATTATATATATATATATATATATATATATATATATATATATATATATATATATATATATATATATATAAATTATAAATTTACCAATTTAAAAATATGGTTCCATCACGGGAATTATCATGTTTCAAAAAACAGAAGCTAAAATCTTCAAATTCAAATATAGAATTAAATTAAAGTCCCTAGCTCTGTTTCATTTTCAAGCGAATTTTGAATTAACTTATTTTGAAATTTACTGAGTTTTATAAGCACATAGATTCATAATATTAGTTTCTATGGATATGGGGAAATCCAATCATTTTCACGAGGGGCGTTAGGGTATTCATTTTCATTGACAACTATTGTATCAAAATATGAGTTAATTTTGAAAAGCGGTTAAGTCAAAGTAGGGTAGGGGTGCCTTTCCAACAAATAA